TGATCAGGTTTCTCACCAGCTAGGTTGTACTCTTCATTTTGAGTTTTATGCTTCTAATGAATCATCAAGTGAGCTTCCCGGCGGTTTACAAGTTATCCATGTACCTGATGTCAGCATGCGTGCAGAGTCTGACCTGGAACTACTGAACAAATTAGTCACTGATCACAATGTTCCTCCCAGTTTAAGATTCGCGTTGTTGACCAGATTGAGATTTGCAAGGGCGTTCTCATCTTTGGCTACCCGGCAGCAGTATACATGCATTCGCTTATATGCTTTCATTGTTTTGGTTCAAGCAAGTGGTGACACAGAGAATGTTGTTTCTTTCTTTAATGGCGAGCCCGAGTTTGTAAATGAGTTAGTTACGCTGTTAAGCTGTGAGGATACTGTTCCAGAGAAAATAAGGATCCTATGCTTGCTTTCCTTGGTTGCACTATCGCAAGATCGAACCCGGCAGCCGGCTGTTTTAACTGCAGTCACCTCTGGAGGGCATCGTGGTTTGCTATCTGGCCTAATGCAGAGAGCAATTGATTCTGTTATTTGTAATACTTCTAAGTGGTCTCTGGCTTTTGCGGAAGCCTTGTTATCCCTTGTTACAGTCCTTGTTTCATCATCATCTGGGTGTTCAGCCATGCGAGAAGCTGGTCTAATTCCGACCCTTGTGCCTCTCATCAAAGATAGAGATCCCCAGCACTTGCATTTGGTCAGTACTGCTGTGCATATATTAGAAGCCTTCATGGATTACAGCAACCCAGCTGCTGCTTTGTTTAGAGATTTGGGTGGCTTAGATGATACTATCTTTCGGTTGAAACTGGAAGTCTCTCGTACTGAAGATGATGTGAAAGAAACAAGTTGCAGTTCAGATAGTGTTGGGAGGGAATCAGATGTTGTTGGTGGCTCTCTTAATCAGCCTGATACTGAACAGCTTCCCTATTCCGAAGCATTAGTTTCGTATCACAGGAAATTGTTGTTAAAAGCCTTGCTACGTGCAATATCTCTTGGAACTTATGCTCCTGGTAACACTAACCTCTATGGTTCCGAGGAGAGCTTGCTGCCTGAATGCTTATGCATAATCTTCCGGAGAGCAAAAGATTTCGGGGGTGGAGTGTTCTCGCTTGCTGCCACTGTCATGAGTGATCTCATTCATAAAGACCCCACTTGTTTCAATGCTTTAGATTCGGCTGGTCTAACTTCTGCCTTCCTTGATGCTATATCTGATGATATCATCTGCTCTGCAGAAGCCATAACATGCATTCCACAGTGTCTGGATGCCCTGTGTCTCAACAATAGCGGTCTCCAAGCTGTAAAGGACCGAAATGCATTGAGGTGTTTCGTGAAAATATTTACTTCTGCATCTTATCTGCGGGCTCTTACTGGCGATACTCCTGGTTCTTTGTCAAGTGGGCTTGATGAACTCTTAAGACACCAATCTTCGTTGCGCACTTATGGAGTCGATATGTTCATTGAAATCCTCAATTCGATGTTGATTATGGGATCTGGGATGGAGGCCTCCACTTCTATGTCAACAGATGTGCCTACAGATGCTGCAACCGTTCCTATGGAAATTGATTCTGATGAGAAGAGCTTGGCCGTTTCGGATGAGGCACAACCATCTTCTGATACTACTCCAGCAAACATTGAGCAGTTTCTTCCAGATTGTGTGTCTAATGTTGCTCGTCTCTTTGAAACAGTTCTTCAGAATGCGGAAGTATGTTCCCTGTTTGTTGAGAAAAAAGGAATTGATGCTGTTTTGAAGCTATTCTCTTTGCCTCTTATGCCTCTGTCAACCCCTCTTGGTCAAAGTTTTTCTGTCGCTTTTAAGAACTTCTCCCCTCAGCATTCGGCTAGTCTAGCCCGGATAGTGTGCTCCTACTTAAGAGAACATCTGAAGTACACAAATGAGCTTTTGGTTTCCATTGAAGGCGCTCAGCTTCTTAAATTAGAGTCTGAGATCCAGACAAAGATTTTGAAATCTCTTTCCTGCCTAGAAGGCGTGTTGTCCCTCTCTAACTTTTTGTTGAAAGGAACAGCTTCAGTTATTTCGGAACTGAGTGCTGCTGATGCTGATGTACTGAAAGAACTTGGTCTAACATATAAGCAAATGATATGGCAGATGGCTTTGTGTAGTGATGCCAAAGAAGATGAAAAAAAGAGTGTTGATCGAGGACCTGATAATTCAGTTTCAGCATCATCTAGTGTTGAAAGAGAGATTGATGAAGATTCAAGCAACGCTCCTGCAGTTAGATACACAAATCCTGTAGCCATTAGAAGCAGTAGCTCTCAGTCTATTTGGGGTGGGGATCGTGAATTTCTCTCTGTTGTGCGTTCTGGCGAAGGTATCCATGGTCGTACACGACATGCAATAGCTAGGATGAGGGGTGGGAGGACTCGTCGACACCTGGAGTCTTTTCATTTTGATTCCGAGATTCCACCTGATCTACCAGAAACGTCATCTTCCCATGAGCTGAAAAAGAAAAGCACCGACGTTCTCATTGTTGAAATTTTAAACAAGCTGAATTTTACACTTCGGTTTTTTTTCACAGCCCTTGTGAAAGGATTCACCTCCTCCAATCGTCGCAGAATTGATGGAGGACCATTGAGTTCAGCATCTAAGACGCTTGGTACTGCCCTAGCTAAAGTATTTCTCGAAGCTCTTAACTTCCAGGGCTATGGTGCTACTGCTGGGCATGATATCTCTCTGTCAGTAAAGTGCCGGTACCTTGGAAAAGTGGTAGATGACATCACTTACCTGACATTTGATACTCGAAGGAGGGTCTGTTTTCCAGCTATGGTGAATAGTTTTTATGTCCAAGGAACCTTTAAGGAACTTCTCACCACATTTGAAGCTACAAGCCAGTTGCTTTGGACAGTGCCGTTTTCTATTCCTGCATCTGGTACTGAGAATGAGAAGCCAGGTGAAAGGAATATATGGTCTCACAGTATGTGGCTGGTAGATACTCTGCAAAACTATTGCCGAGCACTGGACTATTTTGTTAACTCGACATTTCTGTTATCTCCAGCCTCCGCTTCTCAAACTCAGCTTCTTGTCCAGCAAGCTTCAGTTGGTTTGTCGATTGGACTTTTTCCTGTACCAAGTGAACCTGAGACTTTCGTGCGAAATCTGCAGTCCCAGGTTCTGGATGTCATACTGCCTATATGGAACCACCCTATGTTTCCTGATTGTAATCCTAATTTTGTGGCTTCAGTTACTTCCCTTGTTACACATATATACTCTGGTGTTGTGGACGCTAGGCAAAATCGGAGTGGGGTTAACCGGGGTACAAACCAAAGAGCCTTGCCTCTACAGCCTGACGAAGCCATTGTTGGTATGATTGTTGAAATGGGATTTTCTAGGTCAAGGGCTGAAGACGCGTTACGAAGAGTTGGAACAAACAGTGTTGAAATGGCCATGGAGTGGTTGTTTAGCCATCCTGAGGATCCTGTGCAGGAAGATGACGATCTGGCTCAAGCACTTGCACTATCTCTTGGAAATGCATCTGAAACTCCAAAACTTGATGATACAGAAAAGACTGTAGATACTCCGCAGGAAGAAGCAGAGCCGAAAGAACCATCTGTTGATGAAGTTATTGCTGCATCGGTGAAGTTATTTCAAAGTGATGATTCTATGGCCTTCCCACTGATGGATTTGTTTGTGACACTCTGTAGCCGAAACAAAGGGGAAGATCGGCCTAAAATTGTGTCGTATCTTATTCAGCAATTGAAGCTCGTACAACTTGATTTCTCCAAGGATACTGGTGCGTTGACTATGATACCACATATTTTAGCATTAGTTCTCTCAGAGGATGATAACACACGAGAGATTGCTGCACAAGATGGTATTGTGACTGTAGCAATTGATATCTTGACGGATTTCAAGCTTAAGAGTGAATCTGAAAATGAGATTCTGGCTCCAAAATGCATTAGTGCTTTGCTTCTCATCTTGAGCATGATACTACAGTCACGGACAGGAACCCCATCTGAAAATGTGGAAGGAAATAAAAGTGGATCTTTGGAGCCGACCGAGTCTCCTCTAGACTCAGCAGCAACTTTAAAGAAAGCGTTATCTACAGATGCTGCTAAAGGAGAGTCAAACGTGGCTTTGGAATCGATTTTTGGAAAATCTACAGGCTATCTGACCATGGAAGAAGGTCAAAAAGCTCTGCTAATCGCCTGTGGCCTCATAAAGCAGCGTGTTCCAGCAATGATCATGCAGGCTGTCCTTCACTTATGTGCCCGTCTAACGAAAACACATGCTTTAGCTATCCAGTTTCTGGAAAATGGAGGCTTATCTTCACTTTTTAGTCTTCCGAAAAAATGTTTTTTCCCTGGGTATGACACTGTTGTATCTGTTATTGTACGACATCTCGTTGAAGATCCTCAAACTCTCCAAATTGCTATGGAATCAGAAATACGACAGACCTTGAGTGGGAAGAGGCATATAGGTAGGGTATCACCTCGGACATTCTTGACAACAATGGCACCTGTAATTTCTAGAGATCCGGTGGTTTTTATGAAAGCTGTGGCTTCTACTTGTCTGCTGGAGTCCTCAGGAGGGAGGGAATTTGTGATACTGTCAAAGGAAAAAGAGAAGCCAAAAGTTTCAGGCAGTGAACACGGATTCTCTTTGAATGAACCCCTCGGAATATCCGAAAACAAGCTTCATGATGGGTCAGGAAAATGTTCAAAAAGCCACAGAAGAGTCCCTGCTAACTTCATTCAAGTAATTGATCAGCTTATTGACATTGTCTTGAGTTTTCCTAGGGTGAAGAGGCCGGAAGATGATGAAACCAGTTTAATTTCGATGGAGGTTGATGAGCCTTCAACTAAAGTGAAGGGTAAATCAAAAGTTGGGGAACTGGAGAAAGCAGAACTTGGATCTGAAAAATCTGAAGAACTGGCCAGGGTAACATTTGTCTTGAAGTTGTTGAGTGATATTGTTCTCATGTACTTGCATGGCACCAGTGTCATACTGAGACGGGATACAGAAATATCTCAGCTTCGGGGATCTAATATACCTGATGATTCACCTGGCTATGGAGGGTTAATTTACCATGTCATTCATCGATTACTTCCTATATCTCTCGAGAAGTTTGTTGGGCCTGAAGAATGGAAGGAGAAATTGTCTGAAAAGGCTTCCTGGTTTCTTGTCGTGTTGTGCAGCCGTTCCAGTGAAGGGCGTAAAAGAATAATAAATGAGCTTTCGAAGATTTTATCCGTGTTTGCTTCCTTGGGAAGGAGTTCTAGTAAAAGTGTTCTATTACCTGATAAAAGAGTTCTTGCTTTTGCTGACCTGGTTTATTCAATCTTGACGAAGAATTCATCGTCCAGCAACTTACCTGGGTGTGGTTGTTCACCTGAGGTTGCAAAAAGCATGATAGATGGTGGAACAATCCAGTGTCTGACCAGCATCCTTCACGTGATTGATCTCGACCACCCTGATGCTCCAAAGCTTGTCACTCTTATCCTCAAGTCTCTCGAGACACTGACAAGGGCTGCAAATGCTGCTGAACAGCTAAAATCAGAAGGACCAAACGAGAAGAAGAGCACAGATTCTAATGAGAGACATGGCACTCTTGGAACTTCAACTGAGGCCGAAGTTGATGAGCTGAACCGAAGTAATAGCAGTCTACAGCAAGTAACAGATGCATCGGCGAATGGACAGGAGCAGCCTCCAGTTTCCTCTCAACGCGAAGGTGAAAGGAGTTCTAGTCAAACCCAGGATATGCCTCAGGAGATGAGGATAGAAGGCGATGAGACAATACTGCCTGAACCTATTCAGATGGATTTTATAGGAGAAGAGATTGAAGGTGATCAAATTGAAATGAGTTTCTATGTTGAAAATAGGGCCGATGATGATGTAGATGATGACATGGGAGACGAAGGGGAGGATGACGAAGGAGATGATGAGGATGCAGAAGATGATGAGGATGCAGATTTAGTGGAAGATGGAGCCGGTGTTATGTCTCTTGCTGGAACCGATGTGGAGGACCCTGAAGACACTGGCCTTGGAGATGAATACCATGATGACATGATTGACGAAGACGAGGATGAGGATGATTTCCACGAGAATCGTGTAATAGAGGTGCGGTGGAGGGAAGCTCTTGATGGGCTGGATCACTTTCAGATACTTGGGCGATCTGGTGGTGGAAATGGTTTTATTGATGATATTACAGCTGAGCCGTTTGAAGGAGTGAATGTGGACGATCTGTTTGCTCTGCGGAGACCCTTGGGCTTCGATCGTAGACGTCAAACAGGCAGATCTTCTTTTGATCGGTCTGGTGCTGAAGTACATGGTTTTCAGCATCCGCTCTTCTCCAGACCTTTGCAAACCGGCAATACAGCCTCGGCTACAGCAAGTGTTGGCAGTATACCCAGGCATTCAGAAGCTGGCAGCTATGATGTAGCACAATTTTACATGTTTGATACACCTGTTCTACCATTTGATCAAGTACCAGGTAATCCTTTCAGTGAACGTTTAGGAGGTGGTGGGGCACCTCCTCCTTTGACAGATTATTCTGTTGTGGGCATGGATTCATCAAGAAGAGGGGTTGGTGATAATCGGTGGACTGATATTGGTCATCCTCAGCCAAGTAGCCAATCTGCTTCAATTGTCGATTTGATAGAAGAACATTTTATTTCCAACTTGCGTGCTTCTGCTCCAGCAGATACAGTTGTTGAAAGGGAAACTAATAGCACAGAAGTCCAAGAGCAGCAGCACCCGGATATTCAGCCATCTGTTGGAAGCGAAACTGTTTTAGAGGATGGCAACGATGGGGGTCAACTAACTGATGTAACGGCTGCAAACCCAGCTTCTTCTGTTGTCGGAGATGCAGGTGAATGTCAACAGCAGCATGAAGTAATACAGCCTCTTCCTCCGAACAGTACACCAAATGAGATTGACGGAATGGAAATTGGGGATGGTGTTGGAGTACCTAATGAGCAAGCAGACCTCGAAGCGGCGCATCTTGTCTCGGCTGCCCAGGATCATCCTGATACTTCCAGTATTCAAAATATGTCTGTTACTGGGGCGCCTCTTCCAGTAGCTGATCCTGATTCTCATTTTCAACCAAGTGTAGATGTAGATATGAATAGTGATGGTGCAGAGGGAAATCAAAGTGTGGAACCTTCAGTTTTGGCCAGTGACAACAATGAGCTCTCATCCATGGAAGCTACACAAGATGCGGGTAATGATGAACAAGTTGCTGAAGGTAGCTTGGACGGCGCGGCACATGAAGCGAATGCCATTGATCCTACATTTTTGGAGGCGCTCCCTGAAGATTTGCGGGCAGAAGTCCTTGCTTCTCAGCAAGCTCAGTCCGTTCAGCCTCCAACTTACGAACCACCTCCAGTAGACGGCATAGATCCTGAATTTTTGGCAGCCCTTCCCCCTGATATTCAAACAGAAGTTCTTGCACAACAAAGGGCACAAAGGATGGCACAGCAGTCCCAAGGACAGCCAGTTGACATGGATAACGCTTCAATTATTGCTACTTTACCTGCTGATTTACGTGAAGAGGTTTGTATCTCTCTAGTCTCTACCCTTTATTTAGTTAAGGTAATTTGGATTTGGAAGTGGTTTTAACATATTGAAGTATGCTACTTTCAGGTTCTCTTAACTTCTTCAGAAGCAGTTTTGGCAGCTTTGCCATCACCTTTGCTTGCGGAAGCGCAGATGCTCAGAGACCGAGCAATGAGTCACTATCAGGCTCGTAGTCTTTTTGGAAGTAGCCACAGGCTGAATAATAGAAGGAATGGTTTGGATTACAATAGGCTGACGGGGATGGAGAGGGGTGTTGGAATTACTATGGGTCAGAGGGCTGTTTCATCTTCTGCAGATGGCTTGAAAGTAAAAGAGATCGAAGGAGACCCTCTTGTGAATGCTGATGCCTTGAAATCACTAATCAGGCTACTACGACTAGCACAGGTTAGAGGCATTTCTGGTTTTTCCCAACCCTTTCTAGCAAAGAAATAAATCACTGATTTTGGTGCTTATTTCTCGCCGCTTGATTGGTTTATGCTAAGTATCATAAGTATTGGTTTATGCTAATTTTCGCTTCTCACAATAATGTTTTTCTATGTATCAGCCGTTGGGAAAAGGCCTTCTGCAGAGGCTTCTATTAAATCTATGTGCTTACAGTGTGACAAGAGCAAACTTGGTTCAACTTTTGCTGGATACGATTAGGCCAGAGATGGACACATCACCCGGCAAGTTGGCAGGAACTAATCCTCAAAGACTCTATGGCTGTCAATCAAATGTTGTTTATGGACGATCCCAGCTGTTGAATGGTAGTAGTTCCTATCGAAGTTCTTTGTTTGCTATTCTGGCCAACTTCGAGAGCAACTTCTGACTTTCTTTTTTCCTAACACAGGTCTTCCTCCTCTAGTGTTCCGTCGGGTGCTTGAGGTTTTGACGTACTTGGCTACGAATCATTCGGCTGTTGCTGACATGTTGTTTTACTTCGATTCGTCACTGCTATCCCAGTTGTCAAGCCCTAAACCTTCTGTATGTGAGGGCAAGGGTAAGGAGAAAGTTACTCATGTGACAGACTCACGTGATCTGGAGATACCTCTGGTTGTCTTCCTAAAACTGCTTAACCGGCCTCAGCTTTTGCAGAGTACATCTCATCTCGCGCTGGTATGTTTAGCATTGTTTTCAGAATAGTTGGCCTCTTCTCGCTACATTCTCCAGATATTTGCTTTGAATGTTATTTTATCTATACACCACGATTTGTGTTCTGTATGTTTCAGGTCATGGGTTTGCTGCAAGTAGTTGTCTACAGAGCAGCATCCAGAATTGAGGGTTGGTCTCCATCATCAGTCGTTCCTGAGAAATTAGAAAACAAACCCATCGGTGAAGAAGCTTCAAGTGAAATACAAAAAGATGCTGAATCTGAGTTAGTGGATGAAGCTGAGATATCTGATGCAAGAAGGAAGAATCGTGCTGACATATATAACATATTCTTGCAGTTGCCGCAGTCCGATCTCTGCAATCTTTGTATTCTTCTTGGTTATGAAGGGTAAGAGACTCCCTCCTTTCTTCCGTTCAATGTTTTCCTGAGTTTATGCTTTCTTCTTATATCTATCTATGTAGTGGTCTACACAACATATGTCTTCCTGACTCGCATGTTTCAATACCTTAATAGGTTATCGGATAAAATTTACTCGTTAGCGGGAGAGGTACTCAAAAAGCTGGCCGCCGTGGATGTTGCTCATCGCAAGTTCTTCACGAAAGAGCTTTCAGAACTGGCAAGTGGTTTAAGTGCCTCAATTGTCCGTGAACTGGCAACACTGCGCAATACACAGAAGATGAGTCACAGTACTGGTTCCATGGCGGGTGCTTCAATTCTCCGTGTTCTACAGGTGCTTAGCTCACTAACTTCCTCTGTTGATGATAGCAATGCGGGAACTGAAAGGGAAACAGAAGAGGAGGAACGAAATATTATGCAGAGACTAAACTGGCATTAGAGCCCCTGTGGCAAGAACTTAGCCAGTGTATCAGCATTACTGAGTCGCAGCTGGATAATACTGCAGCTGATACAGCCGTGCCTAACGTGAACTCCGGAGATCATGTCCTAGGGATTTCTCCTCCGTCCCCACTTTCTCCAGGAACTCAGAGGCTCCTACCTCTGATTGAGGCTTTCTTTGTTCTCTGTGAGAAAACTCAAACTCCACCAATACTACAGCAGGATCATGGGAATGTGACAGCGGGAGAAGTAAAAGAGTCTGTTCTTAGTTCATCATCTAAAACCAGCGTAGATTCTCAGAAAAAAACAGATGGCTCTGTTACATTTTCAAAGTTTGCGGACAAGCATAGGCGACTTTTGAATTCTTTTGTTAGGCAAAATCCGAGTTTACTGGAGAAGTCCCTTTCAATAATGCTCAAGGCACCAAGGCTGATTGATTTTGACAACAAGAAAGCGTACTTCAGGTCAAGGATAAGGCACCAACATGGTCGACAGATTTCTGGGCCATTGCGTATTAGTGTCCGCCGCGCTTATGTGTTGGAAGATTCATACAACCAGTTACGTATGCGCTCCCCACAGGATCTGAAAGGACGTCTGAATGTGCAGTTTCAAGGTGAGGAAGGTATTGATGCCGGTGGTCTTACAAGAGAATGGTATCAGTTATTGTCAAGAGTTATATTTGACAAAGGAGCATTGCTGTTCACTACCGTTGGAAATGATGCCACCTTCCAGCCGAATCCCAACTCTGCTTACCAAACTGAGCATCTATCATACTTCAAATTTGTTGGTCGCATGGTAATATCAGGACCTCGTCATTTCAGTGACCCAAATGTTATTGTTTGTTTTGTTTTGGGGGCCTGGCTGAATTTTTGTGTGATGATCACTGCAGGTGGCGAAGGCGTTGTTTGATGGGCAGCTTTTGGATGTCTATTTCACTCGTTCTTTCTATAAACACATACTTGGTGTGAAGGTAACCTATCATGACATTGAGGCAGTGGATCCTGATTACTACAAGAATTTGAAGTGGCTGCTAGAGGTTCGTGGACCTAGTCTTAATTTACCTTTCTCTTATCAAAAGCTCATTTACCACGGTGCCTTTTAGAGACTTATCTTTGTCCCTTTTCTCTGTTCATTCAGAATGATTTGAGCGACATACTGGACCTAACATTTAGTATGGAGGCAGATGAGGAAACACACATTCTTTACGAAAAGGCTGAGGTGTGTGATAATAGATATTTGTTTCTCTGCTCATTATCTATCCCAAAGGGCCTTCTTACCATATTGAATTGATTATTTTATCTTTACTTGAAAAGGTGACGGACTATGAGCTTAAACCTGGAGGAAGAAATATACGGGTCACAGAAGAAACAAAACACGAATATGTTGATCTTGTGGCCGGCCACAAGCTTACCAATGCTATTCGGCCTCAAATCAATGCCTTCCTCGAAGGCTTTAATGAGTTGATACCTCGTGAGCTCGTATCCATTTTCAACGACAAAGAGCTTGAGCTCCTAATCAGCGGTTTGCCTGAGATTGATTGTAAGTTGGATACTATTGTTCAGTATTGTTGCATGAATTTGCTTTTTGCATTGAGTTATGATATAACAGTAAGTATCATGTTATTTCAGTTGATGATCTTAAAGCCAATACCGAGTATACCAGCTACACGGCAGGATCCCCTGTAATTCATTGGTTCTGGGAGGTCGTTAAAGCTTTTAGCAAAGAAGACATGGCTAGATTTCTTCAATTCGTCACCGGAACGTCAAAGGTAAGCAAATACATGTCCTGATAATATGTACTCTGGTCTCTTTCTCTTTCTCTTTTGTGTGTTGACAAGTGGTGTTTCTGGTTTTTCAGGTTCCTTTGGAAGGTTTCAAGGCTCTGCAAGGCATTTCTGGCCCTCAAAGGTTACAAATCCACAAAGCATATGGAGCTCCGGAGAGGCTGCCATCAGCTCATACATGGTAAGAAATCATTACAAAACCTTTTTTCATATTTGAATGGTTGTTTTGTTTATCTCCCTCTTGAGTTGATTCTCATTTGGTTACATGTGTTGTTTGCAGTTTTAACCAGTTAGACCTCCCAGAGTATCAATCTAAGGAACAACTTCAGGAACGCTTGCTACTTGCCATTCACGAAGCCAGTGAAGGTTTCGGCTTTGCTTGAACCAAAGCTTGTTCATATATTTTTAGTATTAATTAGACTTCATTATTATTAAATAGGGCGTCTGTTTTTCACTTTTTAGATTTTGTAAAGTAAAAGTCTTTAAAATAGTTGCAAACTTTCTGCTATCCATTTTAGTAGCAAAATAAAGATAAGAAATTTACATTATGTGATCAAATGGGCTTAAGAACGCGCTATAGAAGAATATATGCGTTTAGGAACTGACCAATATAGTACTAATAGCTTATGAGAATATGGAAAAGGATTGTTATCATATATGGATTTCTTAAGCCTATCATAGATGCCAACAACCGGGTAAACATCTGACGTCAAAATTCAAAACAAACGTTCTCTAGAAATCGTTATCCAAATTCAAAACCTTTTCTCATCATTGCATTTGCGCGCCTCAAAATTCAAAACCTTTTCTTATCATTGCATTTGCTCGCCTCTTTTAGTTTGTGTGTTTACAAATCGAAAAATTCTTTGAATCCGATAAAGTTAAAAGGCTTACTCCTATAGTCCCAAATCGGGACTCGTTTTACAGAATCTTGTTGTCATCATCACTCGTAGGCTACAAAAAAATGGCTTAAGACTGGGGCTGGGGACTCTCTCAAGTGCCGACATTAGGAGCACGAGTAGACAATGGCGGTCCATACGAGTATCTCCACTGAGCACAAGCCTCGCATTTGTCCATATTGACCTCGTTTTCAAGCGTGCAGAACTTGCAGGACCATACTTTGTACTTGATCTCCCTTTCCTTTGGTTTTGCTGCAGTGCATAGCTCGCATATCGGAGCTAACGACTGCTCCGAAGGAAACAAAGACCAGAAAAATGAAAAACGGAATAGATAACAACAAAAGTAGTAAAACTGTATTCTTAAGGGAAGACTTACCGGGTTCAATAAGGTGCATTCTCCACACTCCCACATTGCAGGTTCTTCTTGTCTGCGTTTGTTTGCATTGCAACTTGCCAAAAGGAAAGTGTCTGACGACACTTTGGAACAAGAAGGACCACCCTTGTCGCCTGGGATACAACTTCTTTTGACACATGTATTTTCAGAAGCTTCCTCTGTTAAATCAATGACATGTGATCCCCATTGATGACTGGAAGAAGGAGGGCATGAATCGGCATTTGAGCAGCAGCTACTACTTCTTCTTTTTCCTGACCTTACAGAAACTGGTTCCTTACATGTCTCACTATCATTCTCTTGCTCTTCTTCTAAAGCCTCTGTGGACTGAGAACCACACCAGATATCATCAAGTAAACGCCTTTCCGCAGCCATTGCAGCAGCCTGTATCGGACTAAGATCTGACATAATGCTGTTATCACCGCCAAGACGGTGAGGTCCCGAGGGTAACAGATTGCCTGCACGCACTCTTTTGTCTGCTGCTGTAGCTGCGATTGCTCGGAGAGATGAGAGAGGAGGCTGCCGAGAAAATCCACCCAATCGCTTCCCAGGAACATCAAATCCTTGCCCTGTCCCTGTTATACCCTTTGTCATCAATTCCTCGCATTCCTGAGATTAAAGAAAACAATCCACCAGAAACATTTCAAGCATTTGAAGATATTGAACAAGACGGCAGCAGGCGATCAAATACCTTTCGAAGCTCATCCCAAAGCTTATAGAAACTAGCGTTGTGAGGACCATGGGCGTTGTGGCAGAGCTCGTGGAGCATCGTGTCAAGGACTTCATGGTAGGATAAGAAGTCTCCATCGTGGTTTGCCCTACGAAGCCTCAATTTCACTTGCACGCCCCTATTTACATTCAACCCCAAAAGCCTTGCATTTGTTGGGCTGCATTCTCGAAAGAGATGATGATAACACTTCAAACCTCAAACCAAGGAGAGACAAATGATGAGAAAACAATTTAAAAAAAAAAATGATTTTTACCAGAACTCAGAGAGAAGCTTGACCCGCCATTTCCTTCTATTCATAATTGGCTGAACCTGCTTTGCTACTTTCTCCAGAATCTTCCTGGCTTCATCTTCCCTCGGCTTCTTCTTCAACGCCTTTATTTCCCACACCTTGTTCAAATCCCCCAAATTCATCCAAATTTTGATACTAAAACCCTACCCTCCTCCTCCAAATGAAATAAAAATCGATCCACCAAACCAGACAATTCTGACCTTTCCGATCTTCGATGCAAGGAATTGGAGACCCAGAAAAATGAGAAAAAAAATAAAATAAAAAATAAAAGGGTTTTGCTGTTTGAACTTTGAAATGCGGGGACAAACACACCATCTCTTTTATTTACCAGTAACAACACAAATGAGCCCATTACAAGCCCATACCTTAAATTTTTCGGCTCATTAGATAAATACGCTGCGTTTTATAGTTGTCTTGTTAATCTTTGATCTTTGAGACGAAGGATTGTTTACATATGCCTAAACATCCAAAATCATTGTAATGTATATATGATCTAACAACCTTTCAATACAAAATCCGAATATGTTATCACCTAAAAATCCTTATTTTCAAACAATTGGCTTCTTCTTTTCAGACGTCCCAAATCATAACAATGGCGATGCCAACAACTCCAAACAAGACAGCCAAAAACTTATAACGAGGCTCATCCACATGACACTTCTTGTTTGGAACATACCCTTTTGCCAACAAATGATTCACAGACACATAGACAAAAACCCCACACGCCAAGCTCATCGACACTGCGAATATCCAATCCGCGATCGTCCCTTGAGTCGTTGCGTCGATCACTATCCCGATGGCAACACCGATTGGGCTCGATATGGCGAACGAGAAGGAATATGCGATGGACGAGAATAGAGGACGGTTTGGGACCATACGGAGAAGAGCAATCCCCATTGCAATCGCTGCAAACACCTTGTGCAGCGTTATTGTCCATAGAGCTCTCCAAGCATCTGATTTAGTCTCCGAGATCCCAATTGCTATGCCTTCGAAGACAGAGTGGAAACACAGAGCTACTATCAATAGAATGCTATCTCCAACCGAAGTTTCCGTGGTCGCTGATTTGTCTTGACCTGTAACCAAATAAAGCACCAAACTTTCATCATAATTCTAATCGATTTTTCAGAAATTAAGCATCTTTTTGGGGTTAATGGTTGGTACCTTGGACCTCCAAATCGTTGGGTGGACAAGACTGGGTCTTGGAGTAGACATGAGCGATGACAGAATCAGCAAACATGGTCAGCATATAACCAGCGCAAGCCATCATAAATGCAAATGGGTAAGCCGGAGATGGCTCCGATTCTCCCTCCGCCGTCAACAAATCCCGAAACGTCTCGTCAGCGTCGGACAAGAAATGCATCAAGGCGGTCGCGAGAAACACTCCTCCGGCGAACTGTGTTCCCAGAACCAAAAACCCTCGACTCCATTTCAGGAAATACGGAGACACGCCGCTGATAAACGTGAGCACAAAGATGATGACAAGACAGGCGATTTTGACAGTGATCAAGGATCTTGATTTGAGATCGACCTCATGGTCTCCTCCGTCCTCGTGGTCTCCTCCGGTTCCATGGGAGAGACAAGGGACGACCAAGACAAGAAAGAGGAAGAAGACGAAGAAGAAGAGAAGAGGACGAGACATGTAAATCTATTAGTGGTTTTGTGTTTGTGTGTCCCTAGTTTGATGTTGGGAGGATATACTCCGTGTGTGATATATATAAGTGCTGTTGAAAAGTTGTACGATACATATCAAAGTCGTAGGGTTTTGTGTACTACAATCATTTATGGTTTATGGTTGTTTGACTACTACACATTGAAAAGTATTGAAGATTAAGGAACATCCATCGTACTGTAATTGAATAAATTGGCTCACGCTTAACAATAGGCATTTGGTTAATGGCTTAATGCAATTGCAAAACTGAATAATTCTAAATTTCGGAAAAGGCGTCGAAAACCGGACAAGGTTGATTGACCTAATTGTAGACATGACATTGCACCTTAAGACACGCTTTGAAACAGACAGATATTAGCGTACTAGAAAAGGTAACAATACACAGATAGACGTTTCAACCAATAAATAACTTCTCAAATTTCATAAACATATATCATTTGGTAGTTAACCAAAAAAGACTAGAGCATAAAAGTTTGTTAATAACCGAAAAAAGAACCTTTGGTACGGTGTTCTTTTTGTTTCTCTTAGAAAAGCGGAGACAAGGGTCGAAAAAATTGGGTAAAAACAAAGCAACTCTTTGATGAGAGAGACGCGATTTTAAATCAAAGTTTACCTAAATCCACAGCCAAGAACAGTAGTAGCTCCCAGCTCCCGTTTCTGTTTAATGGTGTGCATTAATGAGGATATAATCGTCTCTCACTATACATAAAATTTTAGATCCTTCCTAACGCTTCCAGAATCGGCGGTTTTGTCCCCGTTGTTCTTGCATTCGCCTGCAAGACAGTCTTGGTCAACAACTAGCAACAGATTTTGATTTGATAGGTCAAGAAAATGTTCAGTTCGACTCACTTTTGATATTCTATGGACCTGTCAATGAACTCTTTGGCAACATCTTTTCTCTCGTAAGAGGCTAGAACCGGTCTGATATCACCTGGACAGTTACGTGCAACATCTGCAGACCCAAACCACAAAAAATGATCAACCAACCAAACCAACATTGATAAATGCACTTCACAAGACTCGAACTGAACATTACTTACATTCAAGAAAGGGTATTAGGTCGACAAGCGCTGTGTCATCAGATTCGAGCTTGTAAGGCTTTATCGGCACGCAATTCTCTGGCTGAAGGCTTGTTTCAAAAGCATTCCCGCTAACATAGAGAATCTTCTTCGGGTCTCTGTTCAGCTTTGACAGGTCCTGCAGCACGAAATTTGTATCGTTAGGCAAACAGCTACTATGGGAAGTGAGAAAGTATGTTTGGGGAAAGATTTAAGCTGCTGCTTACGTACCCTGTAGTGCTTTCCATTCACATATTTAGTAGCGCCTCTTGCAAGCCTATAACGTATGTAGCCATTTGGGTCTAGCTTGTCACAGACCGGAACTACGTACTAGAAGCAATGAAACAAGTTTTCATTACTATGTAATAACATGCAAAATACTAGACAGGTCAAGGGGGGACTTTACCATATCCATCTGGTCAGAATACACGACAATCTCATAATATCTCCCAAGATGCTCCAAGAATGCATCCACACCTGGTCTTTTGAACGTCCTCCACCCTCTGTCTCGCTACAGAACAGGCTCAAAAAGTTACATACAGTGTTCCTTTGGGAAACAAATCAGTTCACCAGCACTGCTTTGTCCCCTGACATAGACATCTCTTAGCCAAATAATCAGTAGCCAACTGTTACCTTCCAGTCAGTGTAAAGCAGTGTCTCGTTCAAATCAAGAACGAGGGTGAAGACATGCTGTTCTGAGGGGTGCAAATCTGGAAGAAGCTTTTCCGAGAGAGGTTCCGTAAAGCCCTACAAGGCACCACAGGGGAGATAAGAATGATAGAAGCAAAAGATGCACAAGCAAATATTGTAGCTTGTTGAAAGGACCTACTTTCACATGTTCCTCCACCTCTTCCCTAAGCTCCAGATACGTCTCAATGGCTTTGGCAGAAACTGTTCAGAATTCAAGCAAAAGCTTAACTAAAGACACACTAGTATTAGCTATGATGACAGACGAAAAAGGGCCATAACTATACCTGTCATCGCAGAAGAGTACAACATATTTTGATATTTCTGCAAAGAGATGAGAACATCAAGTATTAATTCAATCCACTGACTAGAGAAAGTTGATTGGCCACTCCAAAAGTCAACCAGTCAACACATAAACAATGGTTATCAAGTAACTCACCTCGATGCCAGAAGAATGAAGAGGTGGTGTCTGCTTAGCTGATTCTCGGAACGCCTTAGTCTTTTCATTCACTTCATCTAATGTGTAAGCTGCATCATAACCAAATAAACAAGAGTAATCAGATCTAAAATGAGTCGATTACACTAGAATTCAACGCATTTCTGTGATTAGGAGATACTAATGGAAGAGGGAATGCAAGCACGGACCATAACTTGCGTAACCAACAGCAACGGTAGCACCCGTGAGTGCCCACACGAGTCCATAGCTGAGAATCTTAAGACCTTTCCGCTCCTTTCCCACCGACTCCGCGGCCGCCGCTGCCGCTTCAGGAGGAGGAGAAAAAGGACTAGGAGGAGGGGGAGGAGGAGGCTGATTTGGTGGCGGAGCATCAGAAAAGTAGGAGGAGTGGTAAGACGCAAGTCCCGGAGCCTTGGCTAAGGGATTCGACGGAGATGCTTCCGTGAGGGATAGCCTCGGATTACGAGATCCAAACTTTGCTAATCTCGACACAAGGCGAGATCGAAGAGCAATAGACGCCATTTCCGATTTCGGCGTTTTCTGCAAGCCCTGGGAATCGCAGGGTTGAAGTAGGGTTTTGCAAATGATCGGAGAAACGAAAATAGCCAATTGGAATGTTTGGAAACACGAATTATGGGCTCATTTTTGAGACGTGTCAACTGTTTGGATGTCGGTTTATCTCAGCTCCGGTAATTTTTGTCCACGCCACCGATGTTGATTTTCAATTTTTTTGCTTTTCTACCAAGGAATTTGTCTTTTGTATTTATTTAAGAGAGATTTTTAGATAATATTCCAATAACTAACCTTTGTTTGAGATAGTTTTTGACAATAATTACTAATTTTAGAGAGGTGTATTCACTTTGGAATTATTCAAACACAAATTTTTAAAGATCTAGTAATTTTTAATTTGAACTGATCTAATTCATCCAAAATCATCTAACTTACAAAATTCTAACTTACAAAATTCTCCCCAAAAGATGATACTAGATTAAATACAGCCATTTAGAAACAATTATCGAGGTTATTAATGTACAGTTTTAGACAACTTATTTGTTACTGAATGCAATTTGCTGACCCAAAAAAATATATACCGCAAACTTTTGCTGACAAAAATGTAGCGTACGTATCTCCTGCTCAAAACCTCGACTAGATGGAGAGAAATAAGCCAGTCAGCCGTTCAGAGATCTACAAAAGCCACAAACCAACATTTGCAAATACATAGCGCCTAGGGGCAGAGCCGTCCCTGAGAATCTTGAGGCCGCAAGCCAGAAAAAATAAATGAGCTGGTTGTGAGAGAGAATCGAACCCACCACATCTAATGGAAGTGTAACCAGCCATAACCATCTCTTCTAATGACATATTTTTGCAAAATATAGGGCCGAAATGTATATAAGGATTTTCGGAAAAAAATTTGGGCCGCAAGCCCAAGCTTGCTTTGCTTGGGCTCAGGGGCGGCTCTGCCTAGGGGCTCTCACACATGCAACAAGACACTAGAAGTGTGAGTCGTGTGACAATGAAGCACTTACTCTTGAGACGACAAATGAAGCTTCAACTTTAAGAAATCATTGGTCTTTGCGATTTCCACAATCTCCTCAGCCTCTCCTCTCATGGACCCTTTAACCAATTCATCTACTAACAGCTGCAATGTCGCTTGCCCAACAATGTAACGCTTACTGAATGCCTCCTTGCAGAGCTCAACCGCAGACCCAAAGTCGCATGCTTTACACATTGCAGGAAGCAGCAAAGCAAAGGTAGCTTTATCAGGTCGATAACCGTGCTTCCCAATTTCTTTGTACCACGATTTGGCTTCGTCCATATTTCCTTGGTTGATTGACCCTTTAATCATAGCATTGAAGCTGAAAACATCAGGTTTGATCCCACTAGCCTTGAGTTCTTCAAAGAGATTCACCAGATCTTTTGATTTCATCACGTTTGCTAATCCAAGCAACCGAGCATTATAAGTCCTGATATCTGCTGCTACATTCTTCTCCACCATTTTAGCCCATATCTCTTCCCCATGCTCGAACACTCCCTTCAAATACGACGATAACAAAAGCGTGTTGAATGTGACTATATCAGGTTTCAAACCTTTGCTCTCAATCTCATCAAGCAATGCAACAGCTTCGAGTAAGGAACCCTTGTCACATAACGCCTTGATCAAAGTATTGTAAGATACAATATCTGGTTTGATCGATAGCTCGCGTGGTATCTCAGTGAAGAGTCGTTCCACCACCTCAAATTTCTTGGAGAGCCCATATGCGCTAAGCAAGGCATTGAAAGACAGCACTGACCTCTTGCAGTCTCTGTCGGGCATTTCGTCGAACACTTTCTGGGCGTTTTCAAGCATGCCGGCTTTCCCGTACAGAGAAATGATCCTCGCCACGAATCCCTCCTTTGACATGTCGCGGTACTTCTTCTGCTCCTCCAAAATCTCTTCAACAAAGTGTAATCTCTTTGCGGCGACGAGACGGCGCACGGTTCTATCGTACACGGCTATATTGGCCCGGAACCTCTCCGACTCGCATGCCTTTTTGAACTTCTCCACCATACGTTTGGGGTTTCGTTCGCCATTCACGATACTGCTCAGCGACTTTTTAGGTGGCGAGATTGCGGCCGAAACGGCGGCTGCGGAGGAGGAAAAACGGCGGACGTTGAACGTGCCACGGAGAGCGCGAGCTAGGGACGACATCGTTTTGAATGTGTGTGTGATTTACACTTGCATTCTTCTGATAGTGTTCTTTGGAATTTGGATGGACTTAATTGATATTTTAAAAATATTTGGTCCGTAATTTAAATTAAAAGAAGCATTGGGGATTAAAAACAAAAACGGAGAGGGAAAGTGTTGATTTGCCGATGACCTAATTATAGTATTTCACCGGCTGATAACGGAGAAGGTGAGATAGTGGAATTCTGCTTCAATGGCGTCTGTTAGGATAACTGGCGCTGTTGTTGCAGCGGCGACGATGGTGATGCTTTCTTACTGTTATTTGGGCTTATTCCGTTTCTCCGATAAGTTCTCTACTGAGAAGAAGAAGAAGAAGGATAAGCTGATTAGGAGAAATGGACTCGTGGATGCTATTGGCAATACTCCTCTGATTCGTATCAATAGCCTCTCAGAGGCTACCGGATGTGAGGTTTTTCTCGGATTTTCTTAACTAGTGTCGGTTTGATCAGATAGTGTAAAGTATAAGTTTAAATTGTATTCTTGTGGTGTTCAGATTCTTGGGAAATGCGAGTTTTTAAATCCAGGAGGTAGCGTTAAAGATAGAGTTGCTGTGAAAATCATACAAGAGGTATACTATTAGCTCTGCTGCAAAATTGATTAGCATATTGAAAGGTTTCAACTTTGTTTTATAAAAGTTGGAGTTTTTGTTGCTGTTTAGGCTCTGGAATGTGGTAAGCTATTTCGAGGGGGAATAGTAACAGAGGGTAGTGCTGGGAGTACTGCGATTAGCCTTGCTACAGTTGCTCCGGCATACGGGTGTAAATGTCATGTTGTTATACCTGATGATGCTGCTATTGAAAAGGTTATATCTTTCGGCCACATTGATCAAGATACATATTCATTCTCTTGTATCCATTACGTGTACTCAAATTTGTATCGTTGTTGGATTTATTCTAGTCTCAAATACTTGAAGCCCTCGGAGCTACTGTTGAGAGGGTGAGGCCGGTGTCAATAACTCACAAAGATCACTATGTCAACATTGCAAGGCGACGTGCTGACGAAGCAAACGAGTTAGCATCCAAGGGAAGACTGGTAGCGAGGGGAGAAAAAACTAATGAAGAAGAGAAAGAGCCTTCCTTATTCTCAGATTCGGTTACAGGTGGCTTCTTTGCAGATCAATTTGAAAACTTGGCAAATTATAGGGCTCACTATGAAGGTACTGGCCCTGAAATCTGGGACCAGACTCATGGTAACATCGACGCCTTTGTTGCTGCTGCGGGTACAGGCGGTACTTTAGCTGGCGTTTCAAGGTTTCTTCAGGTATGCTTTTTATTACTCATCACAGCTAGGTGTATGAATGAGAGTAGCTGTTGTAAAATTTTCATGTGCTTTACACAGGCTAAGAGTGAAAGAGTAAAATGCTTCCTGATCGATCCTCCTGGATCTGGTCTGTACAATAAAGTAACACGGGGAGTGATGTACACAAGAGAGGAAGCTGAAGGACGTCGTCTGAAAAATCCATTTGATACAATAACAGAAGGGATTGGAATCAACAGGCTTACTCAGAATTTCCTCATGGCAAAACTTGACGGCGGTTTCCGTGGTACTGATAAAGAAGCCGTTGAGATGTCGAGGTAGTGTGTGGTCTTACTTTTTATCTAGAGAATACTGAATAAAGATTCATTAAAGTTGCGAATTGCGATCTTGATGTTCTTAGAAATTGATATGTTGTCAGGTTTCTTCTGAACAAGGATGGGCTCTTTGTTGGAAGCTCCTCGGCTATGAATTGTGTTGGGGCAGTGAGGGTGGCTCAAGCCCTTGGTCCTGGTCACACAATTGTCACCATTCTTTGCGATAGCGGAATGAGACATTTAAGCAAGTTTCACGACCCTGACTACTTGTCTCTTTACGGCTTGACTCCAACCGCAACTGGATTAGAGTTCATGGGCATCAAGTGAACCATGTATCTATTACATTACAATAGCTTCGATGTCATTAAGCCGGCTTTGTCGGAATCTTGTTTTTTTTACACGAGGGTAACATATTCTTTGTAGCACTGTGAAAGGGACTAGTGATTTATAAGAAAGTCAAAGCAACAATGCATGTGTGTGACCTCTAAAATTCCCATAACTACATCTTACACCTGTCTTCTCTATTGTCCACAAATCCTGACCCAGTGGGCTCCCTTACAAAGATACTGGGGAACATGTAATCAGAAATTTGTCTCTATACCCATTACTACTATCACAATCATGTCTGTGTTCAATGCATTCGACTGGAAAGCTTATGATAGAGAGAGAGTCCTTATGAACATATATTTAAATCGGTTGTGTAAGGTCTAATGACCCCAACAATGGCAAGAAATGGAGTCAATAAGACGCTATTGATCTCATCACTTTCTTTCTTGAAGAATCTTTGCATTCTCATAACTATCCCACTCTTGTTTCTCTCTAACGTTCTCCACACCAGTGACGTGTTCAACAAGAAGTTCAAGTCCCATCTTCACGATCAGGAGGAGCTTGAAGGTCAAGAGGCCAAAACCAACTTAGATGAAGAGGAAGAAGGTCTGATAGAGGTTTCTCTGGTGAGAGAAGCAAAGGAAATGAAGTTTGACAGCATCAAGAAACGATGGATTAGCAAAGAAGAGTATTACGAGGAGATGACGATCATGGAGATTTGGGAAGAAATTGAAGCAGAAGATAACCTGATTGAGATTGATATCTCCATCGGATCCATTGTATGACATTACTCTTAACAATACTTCATATCTTTAATTTAAAATTTGTATTTGCGCGAAACACAATCTCTAAACAATATACGTTTCATTTCATGTTAACAATTTTTTCTTCAAAAAAAGACTTGAGATGCCTTGGATAAGAAAGGGAGCTTAATTTAATTGGTCCTAGCAGCTTCGACTTGAACTCTATTTGCCAAAAAAGCATCGATTAAATCCGATGCATTGTTAGTCACACCGACCCTGTTCTCTCTTCTCTCAGTCTCAGAGCTTGTCTCACCTTTGGGTTCGGGTCTTGTTCTAGATTTAACACCAACTGTTTCAGCTTGGTCAGAGAATAGGATCTTAGAGATGTGTGAGCTGCAAATCTCTTTGTAGGCTTCGTAATCTGCAGCTCCAGTGTTCCCTCCTTGAAGGATCTTGGAGAGTGGGTGAAGGATGGTGACAGGCCCATCATCTGACTCCAGCTGCTGCTTGAGCGTTAGGAAGTCCGAAACAAGTTCCGAGTTCTTGAACAAGACGAAAACCGCAGTGTCGTCAATGTGGTAGACACAAGTGACGGAAGTCGAGCCAAAGGCTTTGCAGATGCATTCTTTGATCTCTCTAGCCTTGAGTTTCCGTGGGAAGTTCCAGATGAGGACGATGTTCTCGTACTTAAACTTTGAGACTCGCCAGTTCTCTGCATTACTGTTGCCTGTTCCAAGGTCGATGATGTCGCCTCTTGTCCAGCTGAGATAAAGACGGTTCATGTACTTTTCAAGTTTCTCGTTCTGTGCCAAGTTCTCTGATTGCGAATCATGTTTGAAGTCGAACCCTAGATGACTACACGCCTGTGCAAAGATGCAACCTGTCATGAAAGCATCATAACCGGCTTCGTGTTTTCCACCTGCATTCCAATTAGAATACCTGAAACAGAGAAAAAAAAAAAGATGTTAAAACCAGAAAGCAATACAAGTGTACATGCCAAGAAGAGAGAGGGACAAACCTAACATTGTCTACTTCGACGTCAATCTTGACACGCTTCTCAAGGAACGGGTCAGAGCTTCTCGAAGAAGACTCGATTTGTGGACACAACGAGGAGAAGGCGGAGGATAGTGATGTACTGGACTTCTTCATCCTCTGATGCAACATTGGGTTCACGTTCAAGAGTATTTTGGTGTCAACAATGTAAGGAAAGTGGTTGTTAATGGAGGCGACAAATTCCTCAGCTGTCCAAGGAAGAGGACCCACAAATTTGCTGTATACATGTGCAATATCTGCATCAGATAGAGCAAAAATGATTAGAGAAAATTCATCTTTAAGTTACAGAATCTTGATAGACGTATAAAGACGCAACTTGCTCGCATACCCAGGAAACAATTGTGACCAACGATCAACTTCTTTTCTGAAGAAAGCAGATCAATTACTTGACGGAACCCAACTGCAGATTGTATTTTTCTTTCCGCCACTCTCTTGCGTTCATCCTTTGCCTCCTTCTGTAGAATACTTAACATGAGCTCATGTAACAAAAATCAAACAAGTAATACAACACTATCCCAAGATCATCTCTCGAGCCTGATTTTTGCTATCCTTCCAGCAATGTAAATGCTACCTTACCAAGAGATTATCCTTATCGGATTCTGAATCAGTGTACACAACAAAGTCTTGCGAACAAGAACTTTTATCATCATTTGCATGTATGTACACAAGGTCTCCAAAATGCTTTCCTAAAACCTGCAGAGCCAATTCCAGAAGCAACAGAATTACAAAACAAGAACAGACTGAAGGAAAGAGAGATGAATCAATCTCAGAACAAAGAGCATTTACCAGTTGAATAACTCTGAGCTGATGAGAAGTGAAACCCTGAAGACGGAGAGCTGGACGCATATGGTGGAACACAGTTTGAGTGCTTTGGGTTGACATCTTCTGAGACTCAGAGGACGACGCATTCCCACCATGTAACAGCTGAGACCGCCATTCACTTAGCGTTTTCTTCATCCTCTCAGCGAAAAGAGTATCCGCTAGTCGCACCAACTTTACATCCTCAGTTTCAGCCACGCCCTCCTCGTCGTATAGCATTTCCAAACGCTTACTCGCCTCTTCTTCTTGTCGTCTGGACAAATAAGATATTCCTGGGATTATTCAAATACGTGAATTTCTGGAAACCAAAGAGAGTCTCTTGCTATTCGTTATTTTCTGATCACGAGAAAGGAGAAAGGAAGGCACCTTCGTGTATGCAGGCGTTGAAATCAAATTGATACTTTGCAAGGAAATCCATGGATGTCGTCTGACAGAGAAATTCATGAGCTGGTGGATCAAATGCGAGCTCTTGACGAGGATATACAAAGAAATTGTGCCTGCCAAAACGGAGTCAAATCCATTATCAGAAATGAACATCACCTACTGCTAGAGAGAAAAGAAAGAGAGAGAGAGATAGAAACCAACGGGTGAGAAAGGAATGTCTGAGTGTGAGAATCCCAGCGAAAGGGGCAGACGCCGAACTGAACGACGGCGAATTTCTCGGCGGAGTCTTTGACTTTGAGGTATCGGACGTCGTAGCGGTCGAATTCCAAGGAATCTCGCCAGGGAGCGCTAGTCACGCCAGTCATCTCTAGGTCGATCGCCACGAAATCAGCAGCCTTGACGTGTGAACGCAGCTCAGTCAGCGTCGTCTCGAAGTCTGACCTCTTCACGTGCTTCAACGGGAAAGCCGCCACCGTAGACGTTGAAGCACCGACTGTCTCCGCCGCCGAGGAGAACAAGTGTGGACGAACCAAAACACTGGCGAGAGGCCTCAAAGGCCATCGCTTGTGCCGCCGCATTTTTTTGAACGGAGGAATGGCAGTGGCCACTTTTGGTTAGGTTTTGCTCGGTGGAAGGAAAGAAAATGATGCCGACGACAAGCGGCGCCGTTTGCAAACAATTATCTACACTTGCACAGTCCGTTGTTTGTAGCATACTAAAACTGTAAGCACTTCTCTTTATAGGGCCCGAAACAGCGTGATTGTATTTCCCCTGTTATAAAACAAACAGAGAAGAGTGGTGAAGCCTCTCCTCCGTCTCTGTCTCACAACTCAAAACACAATGGCTTTGGCAGAAGTGGCTATCTTTGCTGACACTAACTTGGGAACCCGAATCGTCGTGACAGTTCCTTTGGATATCAAAGCAGCAGATTTCAAGAGTAAGCTCAAATCAAATACCCTCTTTTAAACTCTCTCTCTCTCTCTCTCTCTCTCTCTCTCTCTCTCTCTCTCTCTCTCTCTCTTTCGATTGTGTTTTCCGTAGCTAATGTTTGTTGAAAAGTTTTGGTCTTTCTCTGTTTTTGTCAATTAACTCTGGTTCCATCAGTTTTGAACTTAGCTTTTAGGTTTCTGATAGATATGACTCTAATTAGATTTTTCTGAATCGTTTCGGATTGTGAGGAAACTGATATGCCTGCCCATTTTGAGATGAAAGGACATTTCCAATTCTTTCTCTGAGAGGTAAAGATGAGAATTGATGGATACGAGTCTTCCTCTCTAACGCATCAATGGTGTTTGATTTCTTTCATGTACTGTCACTTGAGGATCTGCACAGTGCCTTGTTATTATGTTTCTTCAGGACATGCGTCCATCTTTTTTCTCCTTTTGCCTTCAAACTGATGGCTCATGATCTTTTGTTTCTGATATACCATTTCAGTACCTACCATTTCTTAATGAATATCAAAATGTGATATGTGTTGTTGCAGGGAAACTTGAGAAAACACACGCAAGTTGCTTACCGAGCTTAGGGGAGATACGAGTTCATGGTCTAATGGTAATGTAAACGAGCAAAGCCAGTTTCTTTCACACACCTTTTGTTGCCTCAATTCATTGCTGCAAATGCTAACTTTTGCTCTTCCCGTAATGTAGGTTAAACGAAAGTCTCAGTTTTTCTACGTTGCCGAGTCTGTGCCTATAAAATACATCTTCGGGGATCACCAAAAGCCCTGTTTTGTCCACGCAGAAGCTACACTTGTGAACAGATCACAAGAGCCAAGAGTATCCAACAGTACTGACTCCGGTTCTGATAAGTCCCTTGAAGGCGTCGTTGGATTGATCCATGGTGAAAGCAAGAAGGTCAAGGCTTCTCTGGCCAAACCTGATTCCAGGAATCCAGCATCCCCTGAAAAGAGCGAGTTTCTTGCTCCTGAACCTGAAACCATAGTAAGATCTTCACTGTCAACAGCAAGAGCTGCAGATATGAAAAGCTCCGAATGTATCAACAGCTTCGTACCAAAAACGCCGGAGAGGAAACCTGGAGATGTGCTGAGTAAAAGTGAAATGATAAGCAAGAAACTGATTGTAGCTGCAAACAACATCAGAATGCAAGGAAAGACTCGTATGTCATCTTCACTATCATCATCTATTTTCAGAAGCAAGTCTCGCATTAAGAGATCTGTAGATGGTAAGACAATCACTTCTCTTGCAAAATTTCTTGTCTTTGAGATACCTGATACTGAGGATTAAGAGCATTGAACAAGAAGTGGCTTTGTGTTGGATGTGCACGTGATTATGATTCTTTTTTCATCTGTGGCAAATTTTTTTGTAAATGTAAAATGTTGCATACATTTAATTTTATGATTACGTTTTTATATAATTCTAATCATAATCATGAGGAAGAAAGAAAAAAGGCTCTATAGTCTATAGATGTGAAGAAAAGAACCACACAATGTGTCTCTTAGCTTTTGCTTCGATCCCTTTTCTTAATGATTCTCCTTTTTTGTGTGTTTCCTCTCTAATCAACTCGTTTAAGGAATCAAAGGAGGAAGTTAGACATTGATAAAGAACAAAGTGAAAGAGATAATGATTAAGCAGAGTAGACATCATCTCTATAGTAGAGGATAATAAAAGAAACATGCAAACAACCAACGATCTTAAAAGCAATTGGGCTTCGTAACACCTCTCTATACAAGTACAACATTTGGACCCAAACAAACATTACTTATTGGACTTTAATACTCAAATAAATTGCCCTATTATACTTCATCAGAAAATCAATAATGATAAAACTAATCTTTTTAGCTTATTAAAATACAAAAAAAATTACAAAACAGTGTGGATTAAAAGTTTAATTTGATTTTGGAAGACGGTAGATAAATTTTCTGGCTTGGAAATGAATAAATAGAAAATAGTTGACATATATAGTTTGGAATTATCAAAGCAAAGAGGAAAACATCCTAAAAAAAAATTAATCTAAACCGGCATTGGAACAATTTTGGCTTCCTGTATATAATAACACAAAGCGCCCAGCTCCTTAGATTTCTTCTCTACTTCTCTCTCACCGTCTCTCTCTCTCTCTCTCTATCAAATCTCTCTATATGCGATCCTCTTCAAAACCCTAGTTTCGGATCGCTCCAGACTTGGATTATTCCATTATCGTCAATTCTTCTCCTTCAGTTACTTGTTCGTCTGCGTCAACCATCGCCATCCGTCCATATACTGGACCAGATCACCGTTGGTAATTTGATTCGATTCACAAGTGATTCCCCACTTCTCCACCGGTGTAGTGATCAATTCCTTGCCGTGCTGAGAATTGATCAGTGCCCTTTCTCAATTCATGAAGCTCAGAAGGAGGAGGGCTGCCGAAGTGGTAAGTGTTCCAAAACTGCGTAATTAAACCCTTTATCGTTTCGATTACTATCTTTGTCTGTGCATTTTCGTCTCTATGTACTTTCTAGACTACTCTTTAGTTTTCGAGAACTATCGCTATTCATAGGCTGTATTGTTGAGCTGTTCATAGGCTTATCTGTTTCTGAAGTTTTGGTGTTTGTTTATCGGTATAATCTTCAACCCTTGACTAATTCCTTTGATTGGTTTATTGAGTTCTTAAGCCAAACCTTGACTATTTGGTTTTCTGTTCCTGAATCTTTTATTCCATTTGATGGCTGTGTTAACCATTTTTTTCATTCGTTTGTATCAGCCTCCCAAAATCAAAGCTTTCATCAATAGTGTCACTGCTGTTCCGCTCGAGCAAATACAAGAACCCCTTCAACGTTTTCGCTGGGAATTCGATAAGGTACCTTAGAATCCACTTTGTGACGCTGTTTCTTTTTCTTCTGTCTACTCTCGGTTTGATTTATGTCTGTTTTTCCTTTACATAGGGCGACTTTCATCACTGGGTGGACCTCTTCAATCATTTTGACACTTATTTTGAGAAGCACATAAAAGGAAGGAAGGATCTGCAGATTGAGGAAAACTTTGAGGAGTCGGTTCCTTCTTTCCCCAAGGATGCTGTTCTTCAAATTCTCCGAGTTATCAGAGTTGTTTTAGAGAATTGCACAAACAAACATTTTCATAGTTCCTATGAGGTAAATTCCGTGCCACATTCTTTAGTTGCCTAGCTTCTTTCTAACTGGTCTCACAGTATACCAATCGTTTACTAATGTTTAACTCATATTCTGTGTTAGATTTCTGGTAGTTCCTCTAGATATGTCGCTTTATATGCTTATTGTTCAAAATGTGTACCCGAATAATTCTCACACACTTGTTCCTTCATAACTGCAGCAGCATCTTTCTCTCCTGCTAGCATCAACTGATGCAGATGTCGTTGAAGCCTGTCTGCAGACGTTGGCTGCCTTTTTGAAGAGGCAAATTGGAAAATACTCCATAAGAGATGCTTCTCTAAATTCAAAACTTTTTTCCCTTGCGCAAGGCTGGGGGGGAAAAGAGGAAGGTCTTGGCTTGGCATCGTGTGCCACAGAAAACAGTTGTGATCAGGTTTCTCACCAGCTAGGTTGTACTCTTCATTTTGAGTTTTATGCTTCTAATGAATCATCAAGTGAGCTTCCCGGCGGTTTACAAGTTATCCATGTACCTGATGTCAGCATGCGTGCAGAGTCTGACCTGGAACTACTGAACAAATTAGTCACTGATCACAATGTTCCTCCCAGTTTAAGATTCGCGTTGTTGACCAGATTGAGATTTGCAAGGGCGTTCTCATCTTTGGCTACCCGGCAGCAGTATACATGCATTCGCTTATATGCTTTCATTGTTTTGGTTCAAGCAAGTGGTGACACAGAGAATGTTGTTTCTTTCTTTAATGGCGAGCCCGAGTTTGTAAATGAGTTAGTTACGCTGTTAAGCTGTGAGGATACTGTTCCAGAGAAAATAAGGATCCTATGCTTGCTTTCCTTGGTTGCACTATCGCAAGATCGAACCCGGCAGCCGGCTGTTTTAACTGCAGTCACCTCTGGAGGGCATCGTGGTTTGCTATCTGGCCTAATGCAGAGAGCAATTGATTCTGTTATTTGTAATACTTCTAAGTGGTCTCTGGCTTTTGCGGAAGCCTTGTTATCCCTTGTTACAGTCCTTGTTTCATCATCATCTGGGTGTTCAGCCATGCGAGAAGCTGGTCTAATTCCGACCCTTGTGCCTCTCATCAAAGATAGAGATCCCCAGCACTTGCATTTGGTCAGTACTGCTGTGCATATATTAGAAGCCTTCATGGATTACAGCAACCCAGCTGCTGCTTTGTTTAGAGATTTGGGTGGCTTAGATGATACTATCTTTCGGTTGAAACTGGAAGTCTCTCGTACTGAAGATGATGTGAAAGAAACAAGTTGCAGTTCAGATAGTGTTGGGAGGGAATCAGATGTTGTTGGTGGCTCTCTTAATCAGCCTGATACTGAACAGCTTCCCTATTCCGAAGCATTAGTTTCGTATCACAGGAAATTGTTGTTAAAAGCCTTGCTACGTGCAATATCTCTTGGAACTTATGCTCCTGGTAACACTAACCTCTATGGTTCCGAGGAGAGCTTGCTGCCTGAATGCTTATGCATAATCTTCCGGAGAGCAAAAGATTTCGGGGGTGGAGTGTTCTCGCTTGCTGCCACTGTCATGAGTGATCTCATTCATAAAGACCCCACTTGTTTCAATGCTTTAGATTCGGCTGGTCTAACTTCTGCCTTCCTTGATGCTATATCTGATGATATCATCTGCTCTGCAGAAGCCATAACATGCATTCCACAGTGTCTGGATGCCCTGTGTCTCAACAATAGCGGTCTCCAAGCTGTAAAGGACCGAAATGCATTGAGGTGTTTCGTGAAAATATTTACTTCTGCATCTTATCTGCGGGCTCTTACTGGCGATACTCCTGGTTCTTTGTCAAGTGGGCTTGATGAACTCTTAAGACACCAATCTTCGTTGCGCACTTATGGAGTCGATATGTTCATTGAAATCCTCAATTCGATGTTGATTATGGGATCTGGGATGGAGGCCTCCACTTCTATGTCAACAGATGTGCCTACAGATGCTGCAACCGTTCCTATGGAAATTGATTCTGATGAGAAGAGCTTGGCCGTTTCGGATGAGGCACAACCATCTTCTGATACTACTCCAGCAAACATTGAGCAGTTTCTTCCAGATTGTGTGTCTAATGTTGCTCGTCTCTTTGAAACAGTTCTTCAGAATGCGGAAGTATGTTCCCTGTTTGTTGAGAAAAAAGGAATTGATGCTGTTTTGAAGCTATTCTCTTTGCCTCTTATGCCTCTGTCAACCCCTCTTGGTCAAAGTTTTTCTGTCGCTTTTAAGAACTTCTCCCCTCAGCATTCGGCTAGTCTAGCCCGGATAGTGTGCTCCTACTTAAGAGAACATCTGAAGTACACAAATGAGCTTTTGGTTTCCATTGAAGGCGCTCAGCTTCTTAAATTAGAGTCTGAGATCCAGACAAAGATTTTGAAATCTCTTTCCTGCCTAGAAGGCGTGTTGTCCCTCTCTAACTTTTTGTTGAAAGGAACAGCTTCAGTTATTTCGGAACTGAGTGCTGCTGATGCTGATGTACTGAAAGAACTTGGTCTAACATATAAGCAAATGATATGGCAGATGGCTTTGTGTAGTGATGCCAAAGAAGATGAAAAAAAGAGTGTTGATCGAGGACCTGATAATTCAGTTTCAGCATCATCTAGTGTTGAAAGAGAGATTGATGAAGATTCAAGCAACGCTCCTGCAGTTAGATACACTAACCCTGTAGCCACTAGAAGCAGTAACCCTCAGTCTATTTGGGTTGGGGATCGTGAATTTCTCTTTGTTGTGCGTTCTGGCGAAGGTACCCATGGTCGTACACGACATGCAATAGCCAGAATGAGGGGTGGGAGGACTCGTCGACACCTGGAGTCTTTCAATTTTGATTCTGAGATTCCTTCTGATCTACCAGAAACGTCATCTTCCCATGAGCTGAAAAAGAAAAGCCCCGAAGTTCTCATTGTTGAAATTTTAAACAAGCTGAATTGTACACTACGTTTTTTTTTCACAGCCCTTGTGAAAGGATTTACCTCCTCTAATCGTCGCAGAATTGATGGAGCATCATTGAGTTCAGCATCTAAGACGCTTGGTACTGCCCTAGCTAAAGCATTTCTCGAAGCTCTTAACTTCCAGGGCTATGGTGCTACTGCTGGGCATGATATCTCTCTGTCAGTAAAGTGCCGGTACCTTGGAAAAGTGGTAGATGACATCACTTACCTGACATTTGA